TTAAATGAAAAAATGATTATTGTGATTTGAAACGAGAAACGACTTTGCTCAGCTGATATAGTAAAATAATATAGCAAGTTAAATAATGCCATTTTTTATAGTATCAAAAAAAAATATTTGAAGGTAAAGTTTATATAATAAAATGTAATTATTAAACAATGAAAATGTTTACATAGTTCTATATAATAAAAATATTATATTATTTTAATTTTCTCTATAACAATACATAGTGAAGTTATTACTAAATTTTCATATGATAATATTATGTAGGTTATCATGAAACTATTGGCCCTATGAAGAAAGTGCTGTCTGGGTTGAAGAAAGCCCATTACATAGTTTAGCTTGGGTAGACGGTCATTAGCACCTCCAGGATATAGTCAAGAGGATCCATTAGGTCTCAGTACAGAAGGTTCTGATAATAAATTTCCAGAAGATGATCTTAGAGAATTATTTCCCGATAGGTATGAACATTGTTACATAGATACTTATGAATATATATTATTAAATTATTATCATATATTTATATAAAAAATTTCTTGTTTTCTTGAATTTCAGTTGTGGAGATTTGTCTTCAGAGCAGTTTAGTGCAGCTTGGTTTTTATTAGAAAATCATCAGAATACTTCATTTGAAGATTTAAAAGCAGATTAGCATTTTTAAAAGAAAAGTAGAAGCTCAAAAAGAAGGACAACTGTCTTTTCTTAAAGCTAATGCAGGCTCTGTATTAGAGCAGTTAGATACTCTAGAAGCCTTAAGAATAAAATTTGATGAAGATGTTTTGAAATATGGAAATGATCCTACAGGTCCCCTACAGAAAGCCATACAAAGTAAATAAAGCTTTAGAAAATAAGCCATTAAATTTCATTAGAAATTATTTTAATAGTTTTAAACCTGAATCATTCTAAATTTTTGGAGTTACAAGAGCAAGAAATTACTTTTTCTTACAATTTGTATTTTTTGTAGAGTCAATTGTGGAAGCAGAGTCAATTTTCAATGAAGTATTAAACAGAAGAGAAAAGGCTGATGCTACCAGGAATGCCTTAGGTGCATTAAATCGGCATAGAATGCTTTTTCTTTTGCCTTGTGAATTACAAAAATATGCTGCACGAGGTGATTATGATATGCTGGTTAATGATTATGCTCGCGCAAGAAACCTTTTTGGTAAAACAGAAGTGCCTGTGAGTGAAACAATTTTTTAAATAGGTATATCAATTGGCAAAAAGTATGTTTATTTTATATATTTGTTAGATTTTTTAAACAAGTGATGGAGGAAGTTGATAAATGTGTAGAAACTATTAGAGGAGAATTAAGAGAAAAATTAAAAGAAATGCCTAGCACAATAGAACATCAAAAAAAATTAATCAGGTAAATAGTCAAAAGATAAATAAAATTATGGCTGGCATAATTAACTAAGTTTTCATAACAATTATCGCTCTTGATGAACTCTAATCTTTTGGTACTTTTCTAAAATTTATTTACTTAAATAGGGCTTTAGTGCATCTAGAAAGTGGAGGAGATCCTGCTTGGGAAGCACTAAATAGTAGATCAATTTATTTGGATCATTGCTTAGATAAATGCTGTGAAGAACATCTTGCTAGTGAAGCAGGTGATTACATTATTGTATCGAAATTATAAATTTAATATCATCGAATTTGTAAATAATGTTTTTTCTTTGGTTTTCTATGATGATTGGAAAATGTGCATTTTTTCCCAACATACATGAATTCTATCATTAGTATATGATACCATTATAGATACGAAGACAAAATCACCTCGCAGTACACCAGCTCAATCAGTTCCGCCTAAAGTGTTATTTTGTGAAGATTTAACAGAATGTGCTGCAGGACAATTACCAGATTTATGGCGTTTGGACAAGCTTATTTTAAAGGTGAATTACAAGTCTCTCTCGGATACAACCAAACCAGCAACATTCAAAGTAAATATTTAAAAAAAATGAATATGTACTACAAAGATAAACTTATTGTAATTGAATTTTTTTGAATAGTAATGGTAAATTCGTGGAGAAGGCACGACACATTCAGGGTTCACTTACAAAAGTTAATCTTTGGGGTATATAATTGTAACTAATATATGAATAAAGTATATGTTTTTCTCAGAAAATGATATTAAGCTCCATTGAAAATTCACTAGTGCCCTTAGAAAAGCTCTCATTCCGAATATGTCTTCAAAACATGCAAACCAACAACTTGGGCCATGGTTATCACATTGTTTACATTACGTTAGAGCTGCATATGCAACTTTAGTAGCATTGGATTTGCCTTCTGAAGCTTTAGAAATAGTTGCAAACTTATTTTAGATCTTCGGTAATTTGAATATATGCTCATATTGATTTGTTAAAGATTTTTTTAATCTTGTGGCTATATTTCAGGGTAAATTTTATAGTAAATGTGTTCAAACAAGCTACAGATCAAGTTAACGCCTTCCTGTTAAAGAGACTTGGCAGATTGATCAATGGAATACATGGAGGAGGAACAGCATTAGTAATACCAGAGAACATTTCAATAATTACTTATATTTTTTTTATATCAATTTATATATACATATATATATATTTTTTTTTAATTTTAGAGTGCAGAGCTTGAAAAAATTGTGACAGAAGCCTTGGAGGCAGGTCAAGTAGCACTTAAACCGGAAATTAAGGAAAATCCATTAGAAGGCGCTGCACAAAAAGAAATTATGAGCCAAGCTCAAAATATGTTGTTAGCTTTTAACGGAGTTTTGGAAGAATTGGCATTTAGTAGAGCAGATGAGGTATAATTTATTAATATATTATCTTTTTTTTCATTGCATTTTCTTAAGTGCTTGAAAATATTTATAATTTTTGAATTGACAAGTTGAAAATTTTATTCAGGACGTATTTAATTAATATATATATTTTTTTTTTATTGCATTTTCTTAAGTGTTTGAAAATATTTATAATTTTTTAATTGGCAAGTTGAAAATTTTATTCAGGACGTAGATGAGTTATCACCTGGAGTTTCACAATTGATGGGACCTATGGCAACACCGTGGAATGATGAAAATCATTCTTGGAGTGGAAATACAGCTCCTTGGGAACTCAGATTATTGGCAACGATTGCAAATTGCCGGCATGTTACCAATGTAGTGCTACCTCGACTTGCTGATAAGTTTTCCATGTATGCAAGCATGTGTGTTGTTTTTTTTGATGTTCTATTTTCTATGGACATTAAACTTATTTTATATTTTTCATAAAATATTATTATATATAATTTAATAGAAATGGATACCCAACGCTCTCTCTAGACCCATTACGGGGATCCCTACAGTCACTTAGAGGCTCTTTGTTAGACACATACACAGAACATAGGAGTGACCCTTTGGTGGGTACTTTAGAACCATCAATGTATCTTGGAAAATTTGACTGGGACAGAGCCGTTACACCTACTGGGTTTAAGTCCATATGCTCAAGAGTGCATTGGGAATCTCTTGGCGGTGCATGCTGAGGTATAGTGAAAATTTAATTTATATATATTGGATATATTATATTTATATAACTTTGATTGAATTGCGCTCTATCTAAACGTTAATATTAAGAGCTAAAACTTTCAGAGAATTGTTTTTTATCTATTTGGAACCATTTGAGCCCCTGGGAGCAAGGAAATTCGAAAATGACCATTTTAAGGACCACCCTAATATATATATATATATATATATATATATATATATATATATATATTGTGTATTTTCTGAGAAATTTATAGAATTGGAAAATAAGCTTTAATTGTATGAAATTATATATTGTGAAGACAAGATATATGAATGTCTTAGTAGCCTCTTTTATTCTTTTGCTTTAATTGAAATTAATATTATATTAAATATCACATTTTTCATCTCATAGGTTCATCGAATATGTCCATGGCTTGTGGGAGAAGTACTGTCTCAAATAGTTGGTACTGTCGGTGAGGAATTAGCGCGTCTTATGAGCTGTGTGAGTGAATTTAATGAACCTGGTACAATTCAGGCAACCCTTGATCTTACTGCGCTAAGGGACGCACTGCAAACTTTCAGCACGCCACAATCAGAGTAAGCTTTGTATTTGTTTGAATAGATGATTCAGGGTTTGTTCCATTCGAGCTCAAACTTTCCGAAACTGATGAATACTGAGTCATGTACATGCGCGTCAGTTTTGATCAGTCTTCGTCAATTTGGGCTTGGATGGAACGAACCCATAATTTAAGCTTTGTCATATAATCACATGTGAAATTTAAACCCAACATTGTTATTGTTTATATTGGTTCGTGTTTTATTTCCATCAAGTAAATGATTCAATGTTATCAAATTGGAGCAATTTGTTTCAGATCATTCTTCAATGAAGCCATGGATGCCATACCAAAATTAAGTTCAAAAAATTTACAGTAAGTAGTAAATGCTTTTTATTTAATATAATGAGATAATTCAAAATTTAATTTTAAGAAAATAAAGATATTTCTTTACAGATTTGTTAAGCAATTGTTGAAGACCATTCGTTCTAGGATGGCATTGCAACTAACATGCTTCGCTTCTCCCACGTGATAATTATAAGTATTTATTGATGTACATAAAAATATTCAAAAGATTGGAAAATATGCTTTGTTAATTATATTAAATAATATATTGTAAAGACAAAATATATAAATATGTTACAATATTTTTTTTTCATTTAGTTTAATTGAAATTAATGTATTTCTAAAAACCGTTTACTGAAGTTATACTTCTCAACAATTTTTTCTCATTCAATACTAATTTAAGATATTGTAATTAAATTTCTTAAAATAGAAAATGATAATTCATTCATCTACAATTATAAGATGAAGAACAGATCCTTGACTTAATATATTTCACCAGCACAATTTATTAATTACACAATTAATAAATTTAAAAATTCAAGAAAAAGTAAAAATATCGCAGAATTGAGTCAAATTACACCTATTTTGAATAGATATAGCAAAGCTGTAAAAAATATGATGTAAAATCTACAATGTTTTTGAATATTGCATGAGAACGATTTGCGAATTTAAATGCATCACAATTACAACCGCCTGTCGCATTTTTAACAAATCGATTTATACCTGTTAATATTTTTATATTATAATATGGTTTTAGATTTTGAATATATCATTACACGAAACAGCGAAAACAGAATGGACGAAATAGAAATTGCGAGAAGAAGAATTATGTGCATATTTTGGAATTATGCAAGCCAACATACAGTCTTGAATAACGAAATCGAACAAATGAACATTTACAACATAAGAAATACAATACCAGTTTCTCAAAAATGTTAACGACTAAATGATAGTATGAAAAATTTCATCAGTTGTAACAATGATTTTTCTACCATAGAAATATTTTACCTGTTTTATGATAGTTATATATTATTTCATAGCTAGTCATTTCAATTAAATATATGAATGTTAATTGTGCAGTAACGATTTTTCCACGCGAATATATCGAGGATTATTTTAACGTTTGCAATTTTAACATAACATTTACAAAATATTATTTACATTTATAACCACGAGTCCAAAGAAGAGGGCCATCTTGAATTTAAGCTTAAATTTATTGAAAAATACGAGGATAGCGAGTATGAACACTTATAGAACAGATATGCATATATTGGAGTTGATAAAGGGTATAACTTCAGCTAAGGGTCTTTACAATAATTTATAAGCAGCTTTTGTGCTCTAAATATTTGTGGATAAAAATCAACCTTTAAAAGTTGCAACAGTTCGAGCATGTTCAACGTAACATGTCATACTCGTTTCCGTACTATCGAATGGTCAAGAAAAACAATAATTAAATTAATAAATAGTGAATTTATTTTTAATATACAAAAATCTTAACAAAAACTACAGTGGTGAAATGAATTAATTGCATTTCAATATATTTATGTGATAAAAATTACTTCGAGATACGAGCGATTCAACATACGAGCGTGGTTACGGAACAAATTAAACTTGCATGCAGGGTGCCATTGTATATGCTATTACAAATACGTGCCTTGTTCGTAATTATTATTATTATTATTATTAATCATAATGATCAATATATAAACTACGTAATATACTCGATTATTCACTCCCACAATATTGTAGTTTAACCTTATCCTTGGTTGTTGCACGTGTACAGCGATAACGTTCCTTACTCTCCGTCGTTTTAGAAATCCTTATAATTCAACAGTAAACAAATTCATAACAAATTATTTGTTATTGATGACGCCTTGCAATGACGCATTAGAGGTAGTCGCGATAATTCAGAGTTAGTAATTGAGTTTTAGTTCAACTAAGTATTTAATTCAGTTTCAGTTCAGTTTTAAGTCAGTTGTGTAAAGTGTACAAATAATGATGAAATAAATAATGATGCCAAAGGTTTTGCCTGTACTGATCCCCGTTTTATATATTATTTGGTGATAGCGGATTCAGAATATTTTGGTGTCATCGGTGGTTCCAACAATGTAATATACATTGGAGTTCATATTACAGACCGTGACGATAAATAAATAATATAACGTTATATTAAAATGCAAGTCAAAAAAATTAAACTCTAATTAAGATTAAAACTTATGCACTCTGAAGAGTTTAGATATGATTTTGGTCGAGTTTAGTTTTTAGGACCAAGGGCTGTGTAAAAATAATGCCTTCATATGAACAATTTTTATCAAATATATATTATGTTTTGAAGATCAAACAACTTTATAAATAAAGCTCAGTATTTGAATATTTAAATAAAATGTAATAGAGAGAGCAGAATGCTCACAATCAGTGTACGTCCCAATCGTCCCATAAATGATTCTAGATTAGCGTTGCATGTTGTATTCTTTCGGCTTGACTTTTATAATCGAATAGTGTGTGTATGTGCGTATTCGTACGAGGGATAATGGATAATATAATGTTAATTTGCTCCCGCAAGTACGTGTACTTTCAGCGGCCGCGCTGTGCCTGTGTACGGATGATATGATCGTGTGTGTGCGCCGCGACCGTTCCCTTTGATGTCGCCGTCTCGCAAAACAACCACAAAGCTTCGGGTTTTTGTTTATCGCGGCATCTTTCATCCGCCGTGTTGAAAGAACTCCTCGTCCATAGCTCCGTACATAACGCGCGCGAGCATATGCCGTAGATAAGGATGAGTAGAAATTCGGTAATTCAGATTAATAACTAGCTGTAAGTGGAATTCTGTCTTAAGGTAATTAAGGCATCGTGCCTTAAGGCAAATTGCTGGAACTTCCCGTACCAAAAATTATTATTTTTTTTAAAAACGATTAACATTTTTGAAAAAAAAATACTTTGAAAAAATAAGATTTTTGAGAAACTATAAATTGGACAAAGAATTAGTTTTTTTTGAAAATTTAAAAAAAAAAAAAAAAAATTTTTTTTTTTTTGAAAAAAAATTTTTTTTTTCTTTATTTTGACATATTGTGAAAGATCTGAACTTTTTTCAAAGCAATCGTACTGCTTTAACTGCATAGGGACAAACTATAAAGCGCGTAAGCGCCGCGTCGCTGTCTAACGCATAAGCATTGGTACGGAACCCATAGGAATGTTAACAAAATGTATACTTATTGTTAAAATCCCTATAAAATATCTGATAATTTGATGTGCATATGTCTAATGATCATTTTTGACCGCCAAATGGCTCATTTTTTTACTTTTTCCTCTATATCTCCGAAACCGCTAGACCTACCTTCACGAAAATTTTATCGATTCTTCATCTTGTTAATACAAGTGAAATGTTTTTTGAATTATTCAAATCGGATGCTCCGTTCTCTTAAAAACTGAGTTACCGTTTTCGGTACTTTTAGCCCCGTATCTTCGGAACGGCTAGACCTGCCTTCGCCAAAAACTAATCAGCACGTCTCCTTATCAATACGAATCGAATGTTTTTTGAATTATTCAAATCGGTTGATCCGTGTTCCCGAAATCGTCGACGAAAATTTGTATCCGCACATACATACACACACGCACATACATACATACATACATACATACACACACACACACACACACACACATACATCCATTTTTTCTAAGGTATGCAAAAATGATCAGAAACCTTTGAAACGTAAAGATATATAAAAATTTTCATTTTCGATTTTTTTGCGATTACTATAACTTACCCTACGGGAAGTTAATAATCGATACTGACCGAATGACGAATCAGTTTAATCCATTATTTTCGACAAAACCTTGGAAAAAGCTCCATTCAGACAAAAGTTTCTAACCGATCTGTATATAAATCTCTTGACTGACGCAAAATATTCAGTTTCAAACTTATTATCATCTTAATTGAAGACTAAGATACAGGAGAGATTAAAAGTCCCCGGGTAAAAAATAAGCCTCCATCATTATCTCAAAAAATAAGCAAAGTATATTATTTTTTAATTATACTATTTTAAAGTAGAATGCAAAAGGCGTGTAACTAGTTATCACGCAAGTTCTTAAAACGTCGCAATCAGAAGATAAACGGAGATGTATCAATATTTATAGTTTTTTTTCCTTGGTAGTTTTTTTTTGGTTTTGAGCTCTTTTAGTTTATGATACCTGAATATAATATTCAATTGTTTCATTAGATGTATTGGTATTTTAGAGTTAGATTCAATAGTTTTTTTATATAACCTTTATAAAAACTTATATGTGGGAAGAGTAAAAAGAACCAACTAAAAATTTACATTGGCAAAGTTGTAAACAAGAAATACTGAATAAAGTAGATTAAGTTGAAAAATATGTAATTTTACAAGAGATAAATGAAATCCGCTGATAAATACTTCTTTCAAAATACCAGATCACAATTGTTAATATACAATAAAATTTTGTAAAAAATGTTCCCATAAAATTCGTATTTCACATTTGTTAAATAATGTAGCTATTAATTCGCAAAATCTCTACAATATAAAAAAAGACAGTGGGTTTCTTTGCCTCCTGGCTGTCCTTTCTTACTCCTCCCATAGGGAAAAAGGTACAGATGACAAATTTTAGAAAAATAGTAGAAAAACATATTTCTATGATTAGGAGTTTACGAGGAAATTTACTGAACATAGTTAAATAGTAGTTTTTTATACATGTTGTGTTGCCATATAGTTCATTTAGTTTAGACATCATAATTAGTGGAAGGCAAATTGGACCGTTTTGAAGACACGGGGCAAAAAGTGCCAAAAATGGCAAAATCCGATTTGAATGATTCAAAAAACATTCCACTTGCATTGATGAAGTAAACGAAATTTTTTTTTGATGGCAGGTCTGGCGGTTCAGAGACCAAATGAAAAAAGTAAAAGAAAATGCCGTTTGGCGGTCAAAAATGATCTTTAGACATATGCGTATAAAATTATAATTTTATAGAGATAGTACGAATAAGTACACATTTTGTTTACATTTCTATGGGATCCAAATTATTATTAACTTCACGTAGGGTAAGTTATTGTAATCATCCAAAAATCGAAATTGAAAATTTTTGCATTTATCGACGTTTTGAATGTTTTTGAACAATTTGGCATACCTCAGAAAAAATGGATGTGTGTGTGTTTGTGTGTCCGCATTTTTTCATTCACGTTTTCGGGCGCACGGATCAACCGATTTGAATGGTTCAA